ATAGTTAACTTTGTGACTCGTTTTCCTGACAACCCTAATCATTTACCTTCACTCTTTGACTTATGTCTTGTCTCTGACCCTAGCTTATGTTCAGTTTCTCCCTTTTCTTCCTTAGGTGGTTCTGATCATGCATGCTGATCTCTATAAATCTTTCTTCTCGTACTTCTTTTTTGGGCTCACCTTATCATCGCACCACCTACTAGTACCCTAAAGCTGACTGGGATTCCTTTTGTGATTTTCTTTGTGATGGTCCTTGGGCTGATGTTTTTTCTCTCTCATCTGACAAATGCGCCTCCTACATAACCTCCTGGATTCAGGTTGGAATGGAAGCTTTTATTCCTTCGCGTCGGTTTCAAGTCAAGCCTGATTCTACTCCATGGTTTTCTCCTTCTTGTGCGGCTGCTATATCCAATCGTAATCATTTTTTTCATCTTTTTCAAAAGAACAACTCTCTTGAGAACAAACGGCTATTTATTATTGCAAGAAATCGATGTAGAAAAGGTGCTTTCTGATGCTAAACTCCATTATTCTCAGTTCACTAAATCTCGCATCTTATCACAGAAGTTAGGCTCTAAAGACTTTTGGAAAATCTTCAACAGCAATATTAACAAGGGTAGATCTAACATTCCATCTATCATTCATGGGACTGATCTTACTACCTCTCCCAAGGATAAGGCAGAACTATTTGCAAAGAACTTTTCTTCTAATTCCACTCTTGAATCTTATGGACATTCTCTTCCTTCCATTCCAGTCAAACAGGTTGACCCATTGTTAGACATTCAAATCACTCCGGCTTCTGTTGCTAAAGTCATATCTCAATTAAACTCGTCTACAGCTTGTGGTCCAGACAACATTCCTGTCACAGTCTTGCAGAATTGTTCTCCAGAACTTTCTTCAATTCTCTCTAAACTATTTAACAAGTGTTTGACTGAGTCTTGTTTTCCTGCTTGTTGGAAAATGGCATCTGTGGTTCCAATATTCAAAAACTCTGGAGAAAATTCTGACCCCTCCAATTATCGTCTGATCAGTCTTCTTTCTGTTATTAGCAAGGTCTTTGAGTCTTTGATCAACAAATTCCTCACATCTCATCTTGAGTCAAATAAACTACTGTCAGACAATCAATACGGTTTTCGATCCTCTCGCTCTACGGCCGACTTGCTAACTGCTGTAACTGAAAGATTTTATCGTGCATTAGATGGAGGCAGTGAGGCTAGGGCTATTGCTCTTGACATATCTAAAGCTTTCAAAAAAGTTTGGCATGCTGGTCTTCTCCATAAGCTTGCTTCATATGGTGTTTCTGGGAAAGTTTTTGAGATTATCAAATCATTTCTTTCTAACCGGTTTATTAAAGTCATCCTTGAAGGCCAACACTCTTCTTTATTTCCAGTAACTTCTGGGGTTCCCCAAGGTTCCATCCTGGGCCCTGTTTTGTTTCTTATCTACATAAACGATCTTCCTGACAACCTTTCTTCTAAAGTAGCTCTTTTTGCTGATGACTCAACTTTATACTCCTGTCTTGACAAAAAGTCTTCTCTTTTCGATCGCCTAGAACAAGCAGCTGATCTTGAATCCGATCTCACTTCAGTAATAGATTGGGGTTCACAGTGGCTTGTGAATTTCAACTCTAAAAAAACCCAGTTGCTTACTGCAAACAACTACCGTAATATGGTCAACATTCCTATATTAATGAATGGCAATCCTCTTACTGAGTCGTCCTCTTTACGTCTTCTTGGATTATCGCTTACTACTGACCTTTCATAGAAACCATATATACAATCGATTGCTAAATTAGCTTCTGCTAAGGTTGCTTCTCTTTATCGTGCTCACCATTTTCTTACTTCTGATTCCATTCTCTACCTCTACAAATCTCTTTTTCGTCCCTGTATGGAATACTGTCGTCATATTTGGGCTGGTTCTTCTAACGATTCACTTTCTCTTCTTGACAAGGTCCAAAAACGCATTGTAAATGTTGTTGGACCTGGACTATCTGCTAAGCTTGAGCCTCTTTCCCATTGTCGTAAAGTTGCATCTCTTTCTCTTTTCTACAAATACTATCATGGTCACTGCTCAAAAGAGTTATCATCTCTAGTTCCATCAATTAAAATTCATTCTTGTTTTACTCGTCATTCAGCTAAGTCTCATTCGTTTACTGTATCTGTCCCTGCATGCTCTAAAAACTTTTATTCATCTAGTTTTTTTCCCCGCACTTCAATCCTTTGGAACTCTCTCCCATCTTCATGTTTTCCTGACTCATACAACCTTCAACTTTTCAAGTCTTCTGTCAACCGTTTCCTTGCTCTGTAACTCTGTTCTTTTTTTTCCTAGTAACTCCCAACTTGATAGTGGTTGCTTGCATCCTTGTTGGGAGTGAATGCAAATAAAAAAAAAAAAAAAAAGTATTATTTAACTCCCAAGTATTATTTAACTTAGTTAGCTCCCAAGTATGTTTTATTATTTAACTGAGTTAGCTCCCAAGTATATTTTATTATTTAACTTAGCTCCCAAGTATGTTTTATTATTAAACTTAGCTCCCAAGTATGTTTTATTATTTAATTTAGTTAGCTCCCAAGTATGTTTTATTATTTAATTTAGTTAGCTCCCAAGTATGTTTTATTATTTAACTTAGTTAGCTATAAGTATGTTTTAATAACCTACTAATAGTAAGTGTTAAGCTGACTTTTGACAAGAATAATTGTAGCAACGAGAAACCATATTGTTTTGCTAGTATTCTTTATGTTGATTTAAAATAAATTTAAAATAAGAAAACTGATTACTGAATCAGTTTTCTCTTGTTGTTTTTTTCACTTAACAGAAAACTTCCAGTTACATTGTCTATTGTCCTGTTACCCCATGATCTGACGAATCTGCAAAATCTCACTTTTTTCCTATTATTTTTCTAATCAACTCCTGTATATGCTTCTTCTCTTCATCGAGAAACTGGGTATTACAGGCTGTATCAAACTCTGTCAATGAATGGACTACTGCAGTCATATAAAAACCACTCTCACGAAGTAGTCAAATCCTCTTGTATGATTATTTTCAAATCTGGATCATCTGTGGCCTCTGTTTTTTTTCCCATTACAAATTTTCTAAATTTAACTTATTTTCATTAAATGACAGCAAAATTATCATTAAAAAGTTTGTTGATAAGTTAAACACTAGTATTAAATGTTGTTGGTGTTCAACTTCATACTGTTGAACACTAAAAAGATGCCCATGTCTATATCCATCAGCTCTTCTGATGCAAATAAGAAATTAAATTTACTGTTATTTTAAAAGGAAACAAAGAAATAGAATATAGGGCATGCAAAAATTTTATTTATTATGGTATACTATGAACATGTTATTCACCCAGATCACACTATTTTCCCTAACAAGAGATACCTGAAAATTTTATTTTTAAATTCTGTATTAGTTCTGTCAAAATAGAAAGGAAATATCTTGTTTCAGTTCCAGCATTAATAAATCTTTTTTTCGCAAAGAAAATTGGTTATTTTAATTAGTACTTTGACTTGCATTATTCTATTGTTTAAATTTTAAATTGTTTTGATACTATCACATACAATCAAAATTTTAATAACAAATAATAAATTTGTAATAAAAATCTTTAAAAATAAAAATTAACAATAACTGAAAAGCATTCTTGCAAAAACTTACATCTGCTCAGATCAATTTATTTTGCATCTCCACCAGGTTTTTCAAAATAAAATTGTGTGGTCAATAATATTTATCTGTTGAATAATAAATATTTTGTTGGAATTATGAGCATACAAGTACTAATATGGTCAAAACAGACTCAGTTTGGGCAAAAAAAATATTTCGCATCTTGCAAACCTATTTCACCAAAGTATTTTTCCTACTATCTCAAAAAAGTAATTAAAATTATATTTATATAAAAATAATTAAAATTATAAAACTGTATTTGCTAAGTCTCTGAGGAGGGGAAGACTTGAAAGAGTATTGAGGGTAATTCTAAGCTTGATCTTTAGGAGAGGATTTAAGTTTTATCTGATTGCTCTGAAATTTTTTGAAAAATAATATTATATACATACATATCAGACTTTCACAGGAAGGTGTGTGAAAACGCGTCTTTATATGACCACGCAAAAAATAATATGTTTTAACAATTTGACCATGGCTTTTGACATATTTTCAAAATTTAAAAATGCGCTACAAAAACATACCTAAACTTATCTTAAAAAAAATTGTAAAAAGAAAAAAAATCTTAACGAACGAAAAAAGAAAAAATATACCTAGTTAAAGCAAAAACACAAAAAAATAAATGTATATATAACCCAACTAAAAAAAAACTCATCAAATTAAAATGCTTAGTCTATTTAATTTACGCAATAAAAATCCATTTTAGTCTTTGTTTTAACATTTGTACTTTTTTATTTTTTATTTAATATGTTTCAAAGGATAAACATTTCTCATAAAAAATACATAATTATTAAAATAAAGAAAAAAAAAACAGTTTATTAATTCTTATTTTAAAAATTAATTAGAAGTGTTTTGTTACTTCATTGAAAAGCACTTCGATAGTATAAAAGCATTTGAGATCAAACTTATTTAATTGTAACGGCTATCTAAAAAAAAAATTTTTTCAACAAAATTTTGTTTATCTTTTTAAATGTATTAACTTTAATTATTCTCATATTAAAATTCGTTAAAGAGACTTTTGTAGTCGTAGAATGTCATCGTTTATAAAAATCAAGGTTCGTGTTTCGGAATTACAGAGTTGAGAGAGGGTTATAGCCACAAAATAAGTAGCCTCCTCGTCTGTAGTGGCCTTCTCGGCCTTGAGGAGGTGAAGTAAAATAATAAAAAATAAAAATAAATTATTTTTTTAAGCAAGATTTTTTACTTTTTTTACTAGAATAAATCATGCCATCAGATTTATAGATGGTAGAAGTATTAATAAAAAAAGAAAATTATTTGTTTTGAATTTATGTAAATATTCTGTTTTTAAAAATACTTTAGAGTTAATCATATTTATTTAGATTAGCACTCTATGTCTATGAGTATTTGTTACATCAAGGCGCAACACGTGCAGCACAAACATTTCTTAGTGAGGTTTGTAGAATGTTTTTATACAGTAGCAGTACTTAAATGCAATTCAAAAATTGAATGTGTAAACCTTTTTTTTGCTTCTTTTTTTTATGACAATTTATGATAAAAAATTTATGAAGATTAAGAAATGCACTAGGTAGGTAGGTTTTTGTTTACTAGGTAGGTTTGCTCAAAAACTAATGTAATTTGTTTTAATATGAAGTTAAATTCTTAAAACAATGTATGTTGATATTTTATATGATTATTATATATTATATTAGCTATATATTAATTGTCGCAATTACTAAACATTTGTTTAGTAATTGCAACAATTTACTATTTGATTCTGTTTAGTATTACTTTTTAATACTGCTTTTATTTGATATTTAAAATACTGTTTTGTATTTCTATAAACTTGGATCTTTATTTTACTTTATTTTTATTGTCATATCTTATTGTCAGTTGTAATTTTATGAGTTTCTTAAATGCTAATAATTAAAAAAGAAAAGAAAAGGTTTTAATGTTTTTAATACAAAATGTATTTGTATTATGTATTCAATATTTGCTTCAACTTTGCTTCAACGCAGCAGCCTTGTTTGTCAAGGCCTAGTTCAAAGTTCATGTTATGGTGTTAAAGGGTTTTAATACTAACTACATTTAAATTTTTTGGTTTATGCATGAACTAAAGTTAGCATATGCAGGCTTGGTCGGGAAGCGGGTGCAATCGCACTCGATAATTGACCACGGAAATTATATTTACTTGCGAAAAGCCGGCCAGATTTTTTAGGCGTTTTGAGAACATTTCAGTTTATGTATGTTTCCTTGTTTGTCCGCAAAATAATAAGTTCATTTTATCGTAAATTTTAAAAGATTTTGTTTTACGGACGTACAAGGAAACTTATATAAACTTGAATGTTGTCAAACATCTTAGTGCGGAAAAATAAATAAAGAATATTCGCGAACACAAAAAACCTGCCAAATTTACGAACAACTAATTCTATTGGTTCAATTAATAAATAACTGAAATTACTAGGCAACTGTTCTAGAGTATTCTGTTAAATTATTTTTCAAAATCTTTTTTTTTTGTTTTTGTTTTTGTTATGTTTTCGTTGAGAATTCTAGCATCAATTGTTTTAAGAATATACTATCAAACGAACAATTATTTTAATACAATGGCTCATTCTTGGAGTCACATCCATAAAGCTATAAATGTTTTAAACTAACATTTGTTTACAAAAATAAATGTTTTAAAATTATATTTTTTAACTTGTCAACGTTTTGTAAATATATTATAGATTTAATTAGTATAATCTTATTTTTTATATATAAGGGATGTATTTATATGTATGTAATGTATAATAAATTGGTTTATTAACTTCAATTATTTTTGCTTCAGCCATTCTTACAAACTCGTTATACTTACACTTAAAGTTTTTTTTTTCTGTAAAATACTAGTTAAAGAGATAAAGCCCACTCACTAAACATCATCAGTGATATTGTTAAGCAGTTCCGCTTCCTCCTTACAAAGTAATTTAACGTTTTTAGTTAATTTCTATCTAGCTAATTAAATTTCCACAGTAACTCAATGATTTAGTTATTTCATTTGTTCATCTTACTAAGAAGATTTGTTTCAAATATGTTAAACTTTTCAAACTACGCGAAGCATAAAACAGGTACTGAAAAAACTTTTTTTATTTATAATTAAATTATGTAGCGTTAGTTTTATTGGTTTAATCTTGTTGGACTTTACAGGGCCGGGGGCTGCATTATTTTGGTGGCCTTTTTTATGTGTGACAGCGTAAAAATGACTTAAAAATACCGATAGGTCCTCTTGACTATTTCTCGGCCCATAACATTGTGTGTCCCGGGACTATAGCTTTTCTACCCCCCCCCCCCCCCTCTTATTTCCAGCACTGGAAATAAGACATAAGTATATAAATAAAAATTATATATAATCTTTGATAAATTGAAAAACATTTGTTTCTTTATTAAACAATCATTATTAGTACGTTGTTACTATATACAAAAAATGTCGCTTTTTTTTTAAAAAAAAAAGTATAAAAGAGCGATGTTTCAAAAATATTTGCTCTAATCGTATTTATTTTGCTTAAAGTTTTGCGTTAAAAACAATTTTTCTTTTTTTTAACTGTCTCTCATCGGTCCAGTTGATCTTATTGCGCTTTTTTGCTTGTTTTTGAAATGTACTCAAAACTCCTGAAAATTCTGGCCGGCTTTTTGCAACTAAATATAATTTCCGTGGTCAAATATCGAGTGCGATCGCACCCGCTTCCCGACCAAGCCTGCATATGTCATATTAAAATCATCAAGCAATGACTAAAAAGTTACTTTTGCTATGATTCTCAGATTAGAAGTTATTTTTTATATTTGTTTTTCAGATTATTTTAGGGTAGAAAAATTGTTTAATAGTTACAGCCCTCAAAATAAGAGTCAGAATTTGGCAATGCTGACCTAACTGCCATCTTAAATGTGTTTGAGGCAGGTAAAAAATTGCTGACCACATTTCTATGTTTTATGGTAACCTCTTTGTGTCATGTTTTTTTTATCAACCTGATGCCGACCTCTAATAGTTTGATTTTTCTAATTCCGAGGGCTGTAATTAGGATAATGTTATCATTAATTTTTTGTTTGGAAAATTTGTTTAAAAATCCCTTTAAATAATGTTTTTGTTTTTATACAAGAAATACATGTAAAAGTAATATAAAATGTATTACAAGAGCAAATGATTTGATATGTATGAGTGTTTTATTAGTTAGCTTATAGATGTTTTTATAAAATAGTAATTTTCAGTGATTAGTTCAAAGTTTAAAGCAGGCCTTGTAATTTTTAAATAAGAATTTGTTTTCAGGACTCTATTTCAATACATTTTGGGTTCGTTTATTTAGAAGTTTTTAGGTTTTGGTTAAACATACATACAATGTATGTATTTATGTTTAAACATACATACAATGTATGTATGTTTTACTATATAAAAAATGTATGTATGTTTAATTGTATAAAAAAAAAAATGATATAATGTAACATTATATCATTTTTTTTTTTTTTTAATTTTTCAAATTATCTTATATTATTTTAATATTTTTTTATAATATAGATACAATGGGAAAAGAACATATCTTTAGGTGAACCCCCTGGTTTTCTTCATTCATGGTGGTGGTGAGTAAAATTCTTAAACTGGTTAAATATTTCAGCATTAAATTTATAACATTTATAATAACAGTAGCAACAATAAAAACAGTAATGTTAATAATAATAATAATAATAATAATAATAATAAAATTAATCATGGTGTTTTCTTACATGAAATTGTCATTTCCCCCTCGTAATTGGTATTTTTCACTGGGTATTTCCCCCCTCGCAATCGGTATTTTCACAGGTTAAAATAAAAAGATAAATTTCACTGCCGTGAAATTTATATTGTTATTTAACCCCAAGAATTTGAGTATATTATTACTTGGAATAGCATTTCATGACTTGAACTTTGTCATTTTATCTTGTGAATTGTATTTTACAATGTGAATGATATTTAATTCGTAATACAAAAATTAAATATTGTTCAATAGAATTTATACAATCATAAATCAATGTATTACACAATGCAAAATTTATTTTGCATTGCGTAATACATTGAAAATTATAAAAATAAATGTTTTTGTCCTAGAATGAATATTTGTATGAAAACTTTAACTTTTATGCAAATTTAATAAAAGTTTTTGTCCTAAAAGTAGAATGATCTCATATAAATTTTTTTACACATAACTAAATTTTCATAATCCTTACCAACAGTAGACGCTTTTTACATTGTCATTTTAAGTATACATCTTACTAGGTTATTTTTTAGTTTTTATTTTTTTTTTACACTCATTTTCTACTCTTTTTCTCTCACCTGACTATAATAATTACACAACAAAATAAATATTTTATTCACAGTTTGTTTTGACCATAACAATATGTATATACAGCTTTTACTGTTATGACATACTATTAACAGTATTTTAAGATTATTACCAGATATGTTGTAAATATTTGTTGGATATTTTAATATTCATTCTTACTTTTATAATGTACTAGTAATAATGGCTGTTGTCATTTGTGTAAGAATTATTAATGACTCGTGTTATTGTTGTAGGTGCTGCGATAAATCTATGATTTGAGCTCATTAATGTAATTGTTCATATTACTACTTCATAATAATCAACTCATCCATGATAAACCATCCATAATTGAACACAAGTTAAATTAAGCTTTTTTTTTTCTGCCTTGTTAATACAGCATTTCCAATGATACATCCATACAATGCATAGCTTTCTGTAACTAAACATTGGCTATATTATAAAGGCTACACTAACTATATATAAAGCGAATAATTTCACTTCAGATATTTTTCACACATCTTAGTCACATCACACACCCATAATTTTGTTGTTTATCTATGTCATAGTTATTTGTTTATTTGGATCATAATTATTGATTGTTGTTTTAGTAATATATATTAACATATTTGGATACATGTTATGAAATAATTTCATACGGATGTTGCTGTTAGGTTTTTTTTAATGTTGTCATAATGTTACAGACTTTTATATATATATTTACTAGCATTATATATATTTTCCTAACATTCATCTTTAGTTTTATTAGCATCCATCCTTAGTTCTGACTGTTATCACTAGTAAGATAATATTAACTCATATTACTGCCAGATAATTTTTTACAATACTCATTACATTTGACCAATCTATTTTACAATACTCATTACATTTGACCAATCTATATTATTAACAGTAATCAACTCATCAACAGTTGTAGACTGTCGTCTGAATGAGAAGCTCTAAGACTTATCATTTTGTCACAACACACCCTTCATCTCAAAGACACTTTAGTATAAAAATTTTGTTGATAGAATTTCCAGCTAGTTATTAAATGTTTTGTTTTTTTAAGTTAAATTTTTTAAAAAGATAATTTTTTTATTTTTATTAAGTTGTTTGTTTTAATTTAAAAAGTAATCTTTCTTTTTTTTTTTTTTGAAGAATAATTTTAAAGTGTGCAGCGCTTCTTGTTATAGCTGATTAAGCTTCATAGAATTATTACTTAAAAAAAAAATAGTTTGTTGATCTTTTATAATTAATACATAGTTATTAAAAAAAATTAAAACTTTTTTATCAATCTTTTTAATCAATATAAATAAACTTTCTAAAGTTACACCAGAGTTATTGAATAATCAAAGATTGATAGAATGAACATAGTTTCAAGACCATAAATGTCTTAAGTTCAAAATTAAAATGTAACTTGAGATTTTCATGACAGATAATAAGATATGCTGTGAGTTTATTATTACTGGGAAAACATTGTTTTGAAAAACAGTTTAAGTAATGTAAAGTAGTTTTATAAGATTTTATAAGCTGAAAACATTTTTTATTTAAATGATTTATAATAATGATTTATAAGCTGAAAACATTTGTTTTATTTTAATGATAGTTTTTGCATTTAAAGAAGAAAAAAAAGTAAATTTTAAGTAAAATAATAATTAAATGAATGGTTTTATTATGTGTTAAAAATGCTTATTTAATAAGTGTATTATGTATAATTTTAAAAATAATATATTAATTTATTTTTTATTATTTATTTTTAAGATGAGCCTTTCTTTAGTTTCATTTGGCTTTATGGTAGTCACTCCTCTCAAAAATTCAAGATAACCTTTTTTAGCTGACCCAGAGAAACAAGATTTGGGGTTTGAAAGCCCTTGACTCTGTGATCACAAAAATGTAAAAGTTGAAATCAAATCCAATCATCATATCCAAGAAAAGAATTCAACATTTAAATGTATTACTATAAACAGCAATAGTGTAAATGACAGCTTTTGACATTTCTACAGCATATATAATTGTATTACTGACTTGTGTCCTTTTGTATGTGACAATCAAGGTACACTCACTATAAATTCCCATTTTTTTGGGAAATTTTTTGGGAAAATGCACAATTTATTTGTTTACAAAAATTCATTATTAGGATAATTTTCAACTGCCGCAATAAAAATGCCCACTTTTGCAAAATCACATGAAGAAAACCGAAAAACTGCCTGTTTTCTTTGCATGCACAAGGCAAAACGAGAGGTAACACCTTTAATAATTGAAAAAGTGAAGACAGTTCTCCAAAAAGATGTTGATTTTCAAGACTCAAGAGTTCCAAAAGGAATTTGTGAAGGATGCCCTTCAGCAATGAGGAGAAAAGATGAAGGCAAAGAAGTAAGCATAGCACTGTCATTCAATTTTCAAGAAATTTATCCCAAGATTTCCACAAGAGAGCAAGCTTGCCAATGCCTCATCTGTCAAATTGGTCAACTCAAGCTCAATCAAAGGCATCCTTTGGAAAATTGGCAGAAGACTGAAAACGAGAAAGGTGACCATAGATGCTCCAAATGTCTTGCAGTTCTTGGAAAAGGTGTCCCATCCTTGCAATGAATGCACATTTCTGGAAAATATGAGGTTGCTTGCAGCTAAAGATAGCAAAGTTTCTGAGCAAACAGCTGCTACTGTTATCAGTCAAAAAGAGGCATCACCACATGGAACAATTCACCTAAATCAAGCTCAAGGTGGACGACCGTTGGCATTGACACCAGGTAGATTTTTGCTATGCTCATAAAACCTAAACACGTACTTAATTATAAATTTATAATCTGACTGGTTCTTCAAGCTCTCGGCGGTTGTTTGAGGCCCCTACAAGAGTGACAGCACAAGATCTTGCCAAAATTCAGATCAATACAGTAATGTCCAATAATGGCATAAGAAAGCTAGCATCAACTCTTAATCAAGTATTACAGGTTAAAGTCACTGAACCATACATTGACTCTAAGTTTCTTGAAATAGGAACCAATCTTGCAAGTTTTTTCACATATTCAAAGCTAGAAGTCATGCAAGAGAAAGGGTCAAAAGTCGAAATGGCAACAATTATTCACTGTAAAGATTTTTCTGAACTGCTGGAGCACATCCATTTAGAAAGAAAAATATTTTCTGATCACATTGTCAAGCTTAGATTAGATGGGGGAGCTGGATTTGTAAAATTTTCTCTTGGGGTTGTAAAAACATTACAGCACTGCAAAGTTCGTTCTCCACCAAGCAAACGACTCCTGACAGTAATAAGGTCCAAAGATAGTGGTTGCAATCAGCAACTTATTGTTGCTGTCTCTGAAGAAATGTCTAAAAACTATTCTAACCTCAAGAATGTTTTCTCCTTGATCAAAGCTGATTCAAAGAATTTTGTGGTATCTTGTGACTTGAAAGTTGCCAATATTCTATGTGGTCTTCAATCTCACGCTTCCATGCATCCATGTACATGGTGCACAGTTCCTTCAACTAACCTTGCTGAATGTGGAGACCTACGAACTTTTGGTTCCCTCAAAGCCTCTTCTCAAGCATTTGCTTCTGCTGGCAATGATGTAAAAAATGCCAAGAAATATGGGAATGTCATCCATAAACCTATTCTTCATGCAGATGACACTAGTCTGGTTTTGGAAATTATCCCTCCCATGGAGCTTCATCTTTTGCTTGGAGTTGTTAACCACCTCTACAAAATTCTCAAAACACTCTGGCCTCCAACTGATGAGTGGGCAACTGCTCTTCATATTAATCTTCAGCCTTACCATGGAGGTAATTTCATTGGGATTGATTTCCGCAAGCTTCTCAAAAATGTTGATCTTCTTCAACAGTTGGCCGAAGAGAAGGCAGCAGTTCATATTTTTCCACTTATTGATGCCTTGAGAAAGTTTGATGCTGTGGTTATTGCCTGCTTTGGAAACGAACTGCAGCATGACTATGCACAAAAAATTGAACTTTTAAAGCAGTCGTTCATGGCACTTCCAGCAGGAAGTGTAACTCCAAAAGTTCATGCTGTGTTTTTCACATCAAGGATTTCATCTCAAGAAAAAACACTTCTTTGGGTATTTACAGTGAGCAAACCACTGAAGCTGTGCACCATCAATTTCAAACTCATTGGCAAAGGTACATGCGCCAAAAGACACACCCAAAATATGAGTCTCAACTTCAAAAGTGTGTGACTGATTTTAACAGCAAGCACTTGTAAAAGAATCTGTAAACATAATTTTTATTCAGAATTTATATTTATATTAAGTCTTGACTGTTGCTTAAAAAATTTTATGTTTATATGTGCTGTAGAAATGTCAAAAATTGGAATGCTGTCATTTACACTATTAATGTTGATAGTAATAAAATTAAATGTTGAATTATTTTCTTGGATATAATGTTTTGATTTCAACTTTTACATTTTTGTGATCTCAGAGTCAAGGGCTTTCAAACCCCACAACCTGTTTCTCTGGGTCAGCTAAAAGAGGTTATCTCTAATTTTTGAGAGGAGTGTAGTATAAGTCACATAATATTTTGCAGAAATACAAAAAGTGTTTTACTTATAAAAATATAGTGAAATTCATTGAAAATTTTATTCAGTCCGATTAAACAATTTGGTTGCCTACTTTTCAATTCACTTAATTCACAGTTCTATTAATTTCAGAATATTAATTTTAGCATATTAAAAATTTTTTTAGAGTACTGATTGGTTATAAAGTGGAAAATTATAAAATAATTAAAAACAATAAGATGAAAACTAAAAAAGTGTTGATTAATTGTGAAATATTTTTTTCCTCTTGTTGTTATATTCTCTCTCAAATCTAAAATCAGGTATAATTATAGGTATATCAATTAAAAATTCAATAATGATTTTTTTTTTTAATTATTTCTTTGATTAAAATGGGCCCTTTGATTAAAATGGGCTTTGAGGTGGTGAGCAAGAAGTTGTTTTGTTTTTAAAAAATTATGAAATATATGATTTTGTTTTAAATTTTTAATTTTTGAAGAGGAATTTGATTTTTTTTGTTTTTTTATTTAGTGTTTTTTGGGATCTTTACTGTGCAGCACCAGAGAGACAAGATCCACACAATCACAGTCCTGAAGCAAAAGCCTTTCATGACCTCGTTAGTTTAGTCATTTTTGTTAACTTATTTCATTTTAATATAATATTAAACAATGCTAAAGTTTGATCAAGCTGTCCAGTGATCATGTAACAAAAAAGTCAGATAATATAAATGATGATTATTTTCAGATTTTAATAAGCATATATAAAACTATGATGATTGTTAGTATACTTTTGAGTTGGATGTAGAAGAAAGCAATGTCTGGTGTTGGTATTTTAGTTGCAGAAAATGGATAAATGTGTAGTTAAGATAAGATGAGGGGATGAGAGAGTGAAGGTATTAAGATTGGAGATCAGTGCCTAATACAGTATATGAATCTCAAAGCAGGTTTATGTTTTTTGTTTCAACATAAATTTAGATATAGTATAGATAAGCAAAACTAGTGAGCAATTGCTGACCTATGTGTGTATATATACACATACACACACAGACGTAAATATAAAACTAGACACCGTGAGTTTATTAAACAAAAAAACCCTTGAGTAACAACATATCTGTATTTATAATGCAGCTTATGTATCTAGATTTTTCTTGACATTATTAGGCATGCTGAAAACAATAGAATTGTTTATTTTTTGTTTAGTTGTTTATTTTATAGTCAGGTCAGGTTTATCCTGCTACTGGTAACATGTAACCCAGTACAATCTGCTTTATGTCCTGCTGCCTTGTAGGATACGCCTTTTTAGGCAAAGGCTAGGAGATGCAAACTCTGACATAAAATACCCCTGCCTTGGGGCTCTTGGTTGAGTAAAGGCTAGAAACAGTGTCTCGATAAAAATACTCATCTTGGGCAGATGTTACATGCATACGGCTTCTGTTTTGTAGAAGGCCTCCTAGGCAAAGACTTAAGGAATAAACAGATTCTATCTTTTGACCAGCCTCGCACCCCTTCTTCATCTATTAGGCTGGCCCAGATGACTCGATGCATGGGTTTTGCTTGTGTCTCTATTTTTATGACTAGGCAACTCATTCTATTATCTCCAAATGAGGGTACAGCTCTAAAACTCAGTTTTATGGTTCTGAGGTCACTGGTAGTCAGGTTTCCCAAACTCTGTGGTAGCTCTCAGAGAGGCTGATTCCATCAACAGCTGAAAAATATCAAAGTACTAACAGTGCCATGTTGCGCATGGATGGTGTCCTTGTTTTTGGTGTGCATTGCCAAGGCCACATTGGAGCCCTTTGTTACGGCTAAGGATTTATTAATAGAAATGAGGTAATTGCTTGGGCTATAAAACAGTGTACTAAGTACTATCTATGTTTCGAGTCAAGTTCTTTAACAAATTTAAAAATGAATAAAGTAACAAAAACTATAAAACACAAAAAACCACAGTCATCACCAAGTTCGCTAAACCTATCATTCACCAATATTCGTTGTCTTCCAAGTAACTTTTCTTCTGTTGAGTCTTATCTCTTGCAAAGTTCACCAGACCTACTTGCTCTTTGTGAGACTAATTTGAGTTCAGCTGTCTCATCTTGTGATCTTAGTGTTAATGGTTATCTTCTTTACATTCGTAAGAATTCACCCATTTGTCGGGAAACTAGTTTTGAATCCACAGACTACTCTTTTATGTGCTTTCGTTTAGCACCACTTCACTCTATCACCTTTCTCTTTGTTCTATATCGCTCTCTCTCATCTCAATACTGCACTCTTCTTGATGTTATTTCTGATCATATTGACCAAGCCCTCTCTCTTTATCCATCAGCCTATATTGTTGTTGTCGGTGAGTTCAATGTTCATCACACTGAATGGCTTGGCACTAGTGTCAGTGACTCTGCAGACATTAAGGCCCACAACTTTTGCCTTTCTCAATCTCTAACTCAAATAGTCAATTTTCCTACTCGCTTTCCAGATAACCCGAATCATTTACCTTCTCTACTCGACTTATGTTTGTTTCTGATCCTAGTCAGTGCTCAGTTTCTTCACACTCACCCTTAGGTGCCTCTGATCATGGTTTGGTCTCTCTAAAACTATTATCTCATTCTTCTTTATCATCAGAATCCCCTATTATCTTACATCTTACAACTACCTTAAAGCTGACTGGGACTCTTTCCGTGATTTTCTTTGTGATGGCCCCTGGGTAGAAATCTTTCGTCTTCCTATTGATAAATGTGCTTCTTACATAACTTCGTGGATTCAAGCTGGCATGCAATCCTTTATTCCCTCTCGACAATTCTAGGTCAAGCATCACTCTTCTCCATGATTTTCCTCTCATTGCGCTGCTGCAATTGCCAATCAAATCCATTACTTTCATATCTATCAGCAAAACAATTCTCCAGAAAACAGACGTCTGTTTATTACTGCTAGGAACCATTGTAAAAAGGTTTTGTCTAACGCTAAAACGTTAGACAAAACCTTTTTAAATTCTCAGATCATGAAATCTCGTATTTCATCACAAAAATTAGGCTCTCATGACTTCTGGAGAATCTTTAATAGTATCAATAATAAGGGCAAGTCTGTAATTCCACCTCTTTTGTATGGTTCAGACTTTGTCACCTCACCTAAAGACAAAGCTGAATTGTTTGCTAAGAACTTTTCATCAATATCATCTCTTGACTCCACTAGTTGCGTTCTACCTGATATAGCCGTCAAACAGGTTGATCCATTGCTTGACATCCATATCACTCCAGCTTCTGTATCTAAAGTGATTTCCTGATTAGACTCTTCTACAGCTTGCGGCCCGGACAACATACCTGTTATAGTCTTGCAGAAGTGTTCTCCGAAGCTGTCGTCTATCCTTTCAAAACTATTTAACAAGTGCTTATCAGAGTCTTGTTTTCCAGCCTGCTGGAAAGCAGCATCTGTTATCCCTATTTTTAAAAATTCTGGAGAGCGATCCGATTCATCTAACTACCGTCCCATTAGTCTTCTTCCTATCATAAGCAAGGTTTTTGAATCTTTAATTAACAAACACTTAATCTCTCATCTTGAATCTCATAACCTACTTTCTGATCATCAATATGGATTTTGATCTTATCGTTCTATGGCTGATTTGCTAACAGTAATAACCGATAGGTTTTATTGTGCATTAGATAAAGGTGGAGAGGTTAAGGCCATTGCTCTTGACATTTCTAAAGCGTTTGATAAAGTTTGGCATGCTGGTCTTCTCCATAAGCTTTCTTCTTACAGTGTATCTGGAAACATCTTTAAGATTATTGAATCCTTTCTTTCCAATCGTAGTATAAAAGTTGTCCTTTGATGGACAGCACTCTTCTTCTTATTCTGTAACCTCAGGGGTTCCTCAAGGTTCAATCCTTGGCCCTATACTTTTTTTAATTTACATTAATGATCTTTTTAATTTACATTAATGATCTCTTCTTCTTATTCTGTAACCTCAGGGGTTCCTCAAGGTTCAATCCTTAGCCCTATACTCTTTTTAATTTACATTAATGATCTTTTAGATTTTCTCACATCTAAGGTGGCATTGTTCGCTGATGATACTACCATTTTATTTTACTTACTACCATTATACTACCATTTTGGCATTGTTCGCTGATGATACTACCATTTTATTTTACTTACATTTTATTTTATTTTACCATTGTTCGCTGATGATACTACCATTACCACAAAAAAAAAAAAAAAAAAAAAAAAATTTATTCTTGTCATGATAAGAAGCCAACTCCCTCTGATTGCTTGCAGGGGACATCTAAGCTTGAAAAGGATCTCACTTCTGCTACAGCATGGGGCTCACAGTGGCTGGTGAACTTTAATTCAGATAAAACTCAATTTTTTTCAGCCAATCGTTATCACAATAATTTAGACCTTCCTATATTTATGAACAGTAATGTACTTGATGAGTCATCTACCTTTCATCTTCTAGGATTAACTCTCACTTATGATCTTTTTTTTTTTTTTTTTATTTGCATTTATTCCCAACAAGGATGCAAGCAACCACTATTAAGTTGGGAGTTACTAGGAAAAAAAAGAACAGAGTTATAGAGCAAGGAAACGGTTGACAGAAGATTTGAAAAGTTGAAGGTTGTATGAGTCAGGAAAACATGAAGATGGGAGAGAGTTCCAAAGGATTGAAGTGCGGGGAAAAAAACTAGATGAATAAAAGTTTTTAGAGCATGCAGGGGCAGATACAGTTAACAAATGAGATTTAGCTGAATGACGAGTAAAACGAGAATGAATTTTAGTTAATGGAACTAGAGATGATAACTCCTTTGAGCAGTGAGTATGATAGTATTTGTAGAAAAGAGAAAGAGATGCAACTTTACGACGATGGAAAAGAGGCTCAAGCTTAGCAGATAGTCCAGGTCCAACAACATTTACAATGCTTTTTTGACCGTGTCAAGAAGAGAAAGTGAATCGTTAGAAGAACCAGCTCAAATATGATAACAGTATTCCATACAGGGACGATGATTTGTAGAATTTGTAGAGGTAGAGAATGGAATCAGAAGTAAGGAAATGGCGAGCACGATAAAGAGAAGCAACCTTAGCAGAAGCTAATTTAGCAATCGATTATATATATGGTTTCTATGAAAGGTCAGTAGTAAGCGATAATCCAAGAAGACGTAAAGAGGACGACTCAGTAAGAGGATTGCCATTCATTAATATAGGAATGTTGACCATATTACGGTAGTTGTTTGCAGTAAGCAACTGGGTTTTTTTAGAGTTGAAATTCACAAGCCACTGTTAACCCCAATCTATTACTGAAGTGAGATCGGATTCAAGATCAGCTGCTTGTTCTAGGCAATCGAAAAGAGAAGACTTTTTATCAAGATGGGAGTATAAAGTTGAATCATCAGCAAAAAGAGCAACTTTAGATGAAAGGTTGTCAGGAAGATTGTTTATATAGATAAGAAACAAAACAGGGCCCAGGATGGAACCTTGGGGAACCCCAGAAGTTACTGGAAATAAAGAAGAGTGTTAGCCTTCAAGGATGACTTTAATAAACCGGTTAGAAAGAAATGATTTGATAATCTCAAAAACTTTCCCAGAATCACAATATGAAGCAAGCTTATGGAGAAGACCAGCATGCCAAACTTTGTCGAAAGCTTTAGATATGTCAAGAGCAATAGCCCTAGCCTCACCGCCTCCATCTAATGCACGATAAAATCTTTCAGTTACAGCAGTTAGCAAGTCGGCCGTAGCGAGAGGATCGAAAACTGTATTGATTATCTGACAGAAGTTTATTTGACTCAAGATGAGATGTGAGGAATTTGTTGATCAAAGACTCAAAGACCTTGCTAATAACATAAGGAAGACTGATCAGATGATAATTGGAGGGGTCAGAATTTTCTCCAGAGTTTTTGAATATTGGAACCACAGATGCCATTTTCCAACAAGCAGGAAAACAATACTCAGTCAAACACTTGTTAAATAGTTTAGAGAGAATTGAAGAAAGTTCTGGAGAACAATTCTGCAAGACTGTGACAGGAATGTTGTCTGGACCACAAGCTGTAGACAAGTTTAATTGAGATATGACTTGAGCAACAGAAGCCGGAGTGATTTGAATGTCTAACAATGGGTCAACCTGTTTGACTGGAATGGAAGGAAGAGAATATCCATAAGATTCAAGAGTGGAATTAGAAGAAAAGTTCTTTGCAAATAGTTCTTCCTTATCCTTGGGAGAGGTAATAAGATCAGTCCCATGAATGAGAGATGGAATGTTAGATCTACCCTTGTTAATAATGCTGTTGAAGATTTTCCAAAAGTCTTTAGAGCCTAATTTCTGTGATAAGACGCGAGATTTAGTGAACTGAGAATAATGGAGTTTAGCATCAGAAAGCACCTTTTTACATCGATTTCTTGCAATAACTTTTTACATCGATTTCTTGCAATAATCTTTCTTGCAAACCTTATATCAAATCCATTGCAAATTAGCATCTGCTAAAGTTGCATCTCTTTATCAAGCTCGACACTTTCTTACTTGGGATTATATTCTCTATCTCTATAAATCTCAAATCATACCTTGTATGAAATACTGTTGCTATATCTGGGGCGGATCTTCTAATGATGCGCTTTCTCTTTTAGACAAGGTGCAAAAACGCATTGTAAACATAGTTGGACCTGTTCTTGCAGCCAACCTTCAACCTCTGTCACATCGTCGTAATGTTGCTTCTATTTCTCTTTTCTACAAATACTATAACGGGCACTGCTCTAAAGAGCTAGCATCTCTTGTGCCATCTACTAAAATTCATTCTCGTGTTACTCGTCATTCAATTAAGTCTCGTCCTTTTTCTGTTACTGTTCCTAACTGCTCTAAAAACTCTTATTCGTCTAGTTTTTTCCCTCAAACATCAGTTCTTTGGAATTCGCTTCCTTCATCTTGCTTTCCTGATTCATATAATTTGCAATCTTTTAAGTCATCTGTCAATTGTTATCTTCCTCTACAACCTTCATCTTTTCTCTTCCAGTAACTTCCAACACTAATTAGTGGTTGCTTGCAGCCTTGTTGGAAGCAAAGATGTTAAAAAAAAAAAATTTCTAATATAAACTATATAGGTCTTCTATTTTTTATTTTAAAAAAGGTACGATTAAGTTCAAAGTATCTTTCTTTTATATATTTAATTTATTTTTTAATTAGTTTAATATATTTAAATATTACGTGTCTAAGTATGTAACACTGGACAATAAAAAAATTTTTGCACTTGTTGTATTAGGTAAGATTTAGTGGTATAGAAGGTGTTCCTAATACTCTTTGTTTTGAGTGTAGAAAATTTACTTCTGGTAAATACAGAGAAATAAAAAAAAAGATTAAAATAAGTAATAGTGAAAAAACGAAGTGTATTGGTAAGTTTTATTATTTTAAAGATACAATTAAATCAGCTGCTGGATCAGGAGAAGTATCAAGAGAAACATTAAGGTGTGTCTGGGTGTCTGGGTGTCTGGGCCTCGCTCAGAGTAATAATTCTACTTCTAACAGCAAGAGGTATACCAAAATTTAAAGGAATGTTATACATACTTTCAGAGTTTTGTTATGTATTGCCAGTGAAACATAGGTGATGAAGTTAATGATGTCCAGTGATGGATAATAATGTCCAGTGTCTTGAAAGAGCAGATAAGGTAATGATTAGATAGATGTGTGGTGTGACTATAAACAGTAAGAAAAAAGTGATGATCATAGATTGAATATAGTGAATTTATTTGATAGGTGTTTCAGGGATGGTTTGGTAATGTGTGCAGATGATAATGATGATGATGATGATGATGATGATGATGATGATGATGATGATGATGATGATGATGATGATGATGATGATGATGATGATGATGATGATGATGATGATGATGATGATGATGATGATGATGATGATGATTTTTCTGCTTATTTTTAGATGTAAAAGATAAACACATTTATTATTGATTACTTTTTGTTTATCTACGTTTTATGTTTAATTTCTAATTAGAACTCTGGTAATCTACCATCACCAAGCTATATTCCACAACCCAATAATGACATGTCATCAATAAGTGGAATGCAAGCTAATTATTTTCAAGTATTTAAAACCTTATTATTGATCATTGAAAAATAGTTTATTTCTTTTGTATCCTTTACTAAAAATTATATAAACAGATTTTTAATTACTTTGAAATTTAGTTTATGAATAATCGCTATTCACAAGCACGAACTCCTTCCATGAGAATGCCTAATCAGGTATGTTAAACCAGTCAGACTTCTAATTGGGTATAAATATTATATCCAAGGGTATTTCCAGTTTGTTTGTTTTTTAACATTTTTTTTTTTAATTATTGTTATTTTTTTTATTTATTACTTTATTTTAAGTTGTTCATACTGTTATACTATTTAGCTATTATACTATTTTTCTGTGTTTTGTGATATCCTTACAAATCTATTATTTCTTGAATTAGTTTAGTTAATAAAGTTTAAATCCCATATGGACCATGTTAATTACAATGATGTATGTTAAATGGTTAATTATAATTATTTTTTTTATTAATATTAACATTAGTATTAATAATAAAATTAAATATTAAAAATAATATTAAAAAATGAGTCTTGAATTAACTTTTTTTTTATTAAATTTATTTTTTCTAATAAACAATTATAATAATTTATACTTTATATACTTTTTCAAAATTTTATTAATTTTGTGCATGATCCTTTTAATTTTATTTATTTCAAACATGAATCTATAACGAATGTTACCTAAAGCATGAATTACATCTATAACAAATGTTACCTAAAACATGAATTAGATCTATAACGAATGTTACCTAAAACATGAATTACATCTATAATGAATGTTACCTAAAACATGAATTAGATCTATAACGAATGTTACCTAAAACATGAATTACATCTATAACGAATGTTACCTAAAAATTTAACTAAACTTAGATTTTCATTATGTATATGAACTTAATTACATTTTGTATTTAAATACATTTATGTGATAAATTATTTATTTAGATTTTTTTTTTTTTTTTTTTTTTTTTTTTTTTTTTTTTTTTTTTTTTTTGTGAGAAAGCATTTTTACAAATGTTTTTTAATAGGGAATGGGACCAGGTGTTAATCAATCACCGTACACTTCATTAGATCCAACTTGTCAGCAGCAAGCATCTGGAACTTACCAAAATGGTAACATCTTTGTATAAAAATTGAAGTAAAAAGTGTTTGTTTCGAAAAAAAACTAAACACAGTAAATATTAATAAATTGAATTAAAAAAATTTTTGCTCAGGTGATCAAACTTTTTATATTTCAATAAAATTTTGACCTGGTTTCTCAAAAAAAACTGTTTTTTACTTAGACATTAATAAGCTTTTTTTATACTTTGTTTGATAAATATCAGTTGGAATATAAATGTTGAATAAAACTAATTTTAGATATAATAATATTTTTTTTTAAGAATTTGTATAAAATATAAAAGAAATATTTCTTATTTCAAAATTACACTTTAAATTTAATTTTTAATATGCATATTAATTTAAAACTGAAATTAGATTGAGATTAATTTATGAATATTAAAATATTTTTTAATGTATTTTAAATACAGTTTGACTTAATGTCGCGTAATAACTTTATTGGTATTGATGCTAGAAATAGAGCAAAATATTAAAAAAAAAAACCCAATTATTTCAATAAGTATTATAAATTCAATACAAAAACATTTGTGTCAAACTTTCAAGTCTTGTTTACTATTATTTTTAAGCATTACCTTTCTACTCGCCTCTTGAGTTGAGGTATACTCTTCTCTCTTTTTATGAGTGTACATTCTACTTGAAGCTTCAGTAACTTGCTTTACACAAAATTCAACAGATTGTCCATGACATGGCCAAATCAGCACCTGCATAGGATTTGATAAAAACACATTAATTTCAAAAGTTGTTAAAGAAGTAGTTAAGACTGGTTCATAAACCAGTGACTCCCATGATATTAGGTCTACCAATTTTTCAGCATTAAAGTTCAGAACAGGAGTTTTTCTTGGTTTAGGAGAGGAATCACCTTTTTATAGATCTTCATTTCCAGTACCTCTAATATCTTTTATCTTATTAATAGCTACACTTCTATCTTCTTCAGTATTAAAACACAGCAATGTTTGTAGTATACACCAAGTTGATCTTTGAATAGAGGGTGATACTATTTTAATGACATCTTCTTTTTGAAATTTGAGTTGCTGCAGTTGGTAAATTACATGTTTAGGACCTTCAAACCAAGAATGTTCAACTTTAATCTTAAACCAACAAGGAAAATAAACACCTACAATGTACTCGGTGATATATCTTAAATTTTCTAAATCTTTACCTTGAATTCCATGTTTAGAAATCCATATTCAACATGTTCTGTTAGCAGTAGTTAACCATCTTGAATGTGAAACATTCAAGATGGTTAACTTGAATGTTTCACATTCAAGATGGTTAACTACTGCTAACAATTTGTAATACTATTTGTTGCTTTCTCAGGAGGCCCAATTTGTAATACTATTTGTTGCTTTCTCAGGAGTAAAGTGAAATAAATATTTTCCTCTAGGTTCCATACAAACAGAGTAATGTTCTTCTTTCACTGTTACTGGAAATTTTGCATTTGAGTCATCAAGTTCAATCATTTGCTTGGTTTGATCAATTCTCCCATCAAAAAATATGCATTTCACTTCTCCACTTTTTCCTATTTTGTCGAAATCCTTACTAAGATCAGAAATAACTTTTTCTTGCGCTCTCGAAACTTTACTATGGTTAATAACTAACTTTTTATCATCAGATGTTATTAATCCTGCATCAATTAGTGTTGCTGTAGCAATTGCAGCTATATATATATATATATATATATATATATATATATATATATATATATATATATATATATATATATACATACATACATACATACATACATACATACATACATACATACATACATACATACATACATACATACATACATACATACATACATACATACATACATACATACATATATACATATAATAAAACTGCATATCTTATAACGTGTCTGTTGGTTGGTAATCCTGAAACTAGAAATTGTTTTCCTGTACCAAATGCAACACTAATTTCTGTAATAGCACTAATTCTGGTTTTGGGTGCCATTATTCCTCCAAGTTATAAAATATTTAAAGAAAATTTATTATTGTTTAGTAATGAAAAAAAAATATTTAAAAAATATTTTAGGAATGAAAGCAATTGATCAAATGTTCTTAAATTTATATTTAACAATATGCAGTTTGCAATTGTTTACTTAATGCAGCAATGAAAAATTAATTTACTGACCATTATTAAAAAATTAATTTACTGACCATTATTAAAAAATTAATTTACTGACCATTATTAAGATAAAAAAAATTATGTTTGAGTAAAATATTTTTTTTAATAAAAAGTTATTTTACGCATATAATACAAAATTTTTCAAGTACTTTATACATATTAAGTTAAATGATTTTTTTATAAACTTAATGTAACTTTGTTTAAAAGTCTGTTGTTTTTTTTATGTACAGTATTGTCAGATAGCGTCGTTATTCCGTTTAAAAGGAAATAAAAATTGTTAATACTTTCATAAGACGGCTAATCACTCAAGTAAATATTTTTCTGATTTAAAATATTTTAACAGATTTTGATTCTCCGTAAAATTTTGAAACTTTTACTTATGCCCCACATTTTATTAAACTTTTTTTTCAAAAAAAGTCTAAAATTGACACACCCTAATGATGATGGCTATATTTTATCAAAGCTGGCCCAAATTATATTTTAACTTTGGTTGCTTCCTTATAGTCATGTATGTATTTTTTAATAAATTTATTTAGAAAATAAATATAAAAAATGAGTAGTATTATGTTTTTTAAATATTTATTTTTTCTGATATTCAAATAGTTTTTTGGTAAAACAAGTTAAAAATAATATTTTTGTTGTAACTTAGTCATTAAATAATTAAAACAGGTATTGTTTATCAATTACTTGAAGCTATATTTAGTTATATTTTGAATTGGTTAGATATTTATTTATACAACTATTTTTTTTTTTAATTTGACTTATTTTAGATAATTATTTAATAATTGCATCAACTCAAGCAGTTGATGCAATTATTAAATAATTATCTAAATCATTCAGCATCTTTAAAACCAGGTCCCTCGTAATTAAGATAATTTAGCTTGAGAGGTATGTTAGCTAGGGTGTTAGCTTTGCGCTAAACTATTGCAGAAAAGTACCAATAACAAAGATGTTGGGTAAATTCATTATCAAATAAGATTTGCAGATGTTACCTGATACACAGTAAGAAGAGAACTTATGAAGAAGACTTAAGTTATGAAAAACTTCTTTGAATCAGCTATATAATTATAGATAGCTTTTTTCCCATTTCTAGTACCAAATGGTTTTGCTTTAGCTTACTTTATTTGGTTGTTCCTTAAAACTCTTAAGTGACCTAAAATAAGCTTACTTATCTATATATATTTGAGCTTTTTTCTTTTAAGCTTCTACCATAATTGAAACTTTTGCCATTATTTATAGCCAAAGTCCAAATATTTGATGTTTATTAATATATAATTATTAATAATTCTTAAACATCTGATATTAGATGTTTAAGAAATACTTGAAAAAGAAAAGTAATTAGATACCTAATCAGAGGGTAAATGTGTTTTTAAAGCAGTGATTCAGAATAGTGATAGGAGATTGTATTTGTATCTTTTTCAGTCAAATCTACTAATTTTTTTGCTCATGTATGTTCTAATTCTAACCTAGCACATCCTGTGTCTTAAGACATTTATCTTTTATCGCATCTGTGTCTTAAGACATTTTGGGTTTTATGAATAACTTGCTGACAATTAAATCAGATTTCACAGTTGTAATTTGGTTTGTTGTTTGATGTCAAACTTATGAAATCAGTGTTGAACTTTAAAAAAAAAATTGAGATGCTAAAATGATTGACTACTCAGTGAGCATATGTTCAACACAGCAAATAAGTAATTTAGTTAATTCGAGTAAAAATATTGTTTTCTGGTTTTATATAAAATAAAATAAAAAATATTGTTTTATGGTTTTATACTCAATTATTTATACTAATGTTTATTGATTTGTCATGCCAAATAAAGAAAAAGTTTATTGGTTTATTATATGCCAAATAAAGAAAATGTTTATCATGCCAAATAAAGAAATTGGCACTGAAATATATTATTTAGTTACAGTTGGTCAGCTTTATGGTTGCCATTTGTGTACTTTTTTTAATTTTATTAAAGAATTTAATTATTTTCAGTTATTATTAATTAGGTTACTAATTAAGTAAATGGTTTGATGTTAAAATACATGTATTACATATAACAGACATTGAGTTTGTAATGTTTAATAGTTATTTGATAATTTGTGCTTCCAGCAGCTACAATGATGAATGCTATGCGCGGTTTTAACAATGGAATGCCATCAGTTCCTCATGTGAGTATATTTTAATTTGTGTTTTAAAGATTTAGCCCAATCTAAATTTTTATATTAGAGTTTTCTTTCTATTCAAGAGACCTTCATCACAGCCTAAAGAGCCTCGTCTTCACCTCACTTTTCCTCCCCTGCCTTAATATAGCATAAGATTTTTCCTAGTATCTAATTTTTGTAATAGAGCAAACTTAATCACAACTCTGGATCTTTTGCAATAAAACTTATCAGAAGGCCAAGTTGGTCAAAAAAGTTTAGAGGAGGCTGTGAAGTATTTTTGCTAAAAATGCTATCAACATTTTTTATATTGATATATATTTTTTTTAATTACTGTTATTGTTGCTATTATTTTTAGTAGCTTCTGCCATTTCCAACTTTGTTGATTTTGAAATTGAAACATGATAAACTGTTTCATCAAAAAATGATAGACTGGCTAGTTCAAAATGATGGACTGACTAGTTCAAAACTCTTTACAACTTTAAAACGTTATGGAAAGGTCTGAATCTAATCTTGATACTTAGTTGAATATTTTGTTTTTAAATAATCTTTTTATGTGAAATATTCTGAATTTCTTTGTTGTTTTTTGCTTTTATATTTTTTTTAAGCCTCAGAAAATCTGTTTTGAAGCTATTTGTTAATTTTCCAAATCAGTTATTAAAACTGAGAAAATCTGCTTAGTATCTAAAGTCTGAGTTTCCAGCTGTGAATAATGGATCTAATTTACTCAGGGAACTGACAATTATACATAAGCTCTACTTTTTTTATAGCCCAAAAACTTAGCAGCAAGTTACTTCTGTGCTAAAAGATATGTTTAAAACTTCAGACAGATCATAATTAATTTAAAACGTAATTTAACAGTTAAATGTTAGTAGTTTTATAAAAAAAGGTTTATATTCAAGTCAAATATTCTGCTAGGTATTGTGCTTCAAAAAGTAGGGGAGAGTGGGGAGAAGTGGGACAACTACTGAAATTTCTAATTAGGTGTGGTGCCTAAATACTGTTATTTAATGTAAACAATTAAATTTCTTCCCCTCTATTTAGCAGAAATGGCTTTGTTTCCCTGTGTGCGATAGAAGCCCTAATTTTGAAATGTACCTTGAAAAGTGTTTACATTGGAGTGGGACAGAAAAAATAACTATTTATACCCCCCTTCTTCCTGTTGCCATTTGATTATTTTGATTGGTGAAAGCTCTTGAGCATTTTAATGTCGATTAGGTGATTTTATGATTTTATCAGTTTCTATTTGATAATTTGTGTTAAAATGTTTTAAATTTATTTGTCCCACTTCTACCCACACTTGTCCCACTTTACCCTAATAGCACGGTTTCTCTAAAAGAAAAAATTTATATACTTAATTATAATTGGCTGGAAACCTAAGAGGGATTGAACTGGTGCCTAAAAAGAAGGTTTATTCGTAAAAACTTGTTTTGGTTGAGTTTATGCATCAAATAAAAAAGATATTGCAGTTACCCTAAAAATAGTTTTTTTTTTTACCTTAAACTGTAAAGGTAACACAGAACACACAAAACAACAAATAATGACTTTTCAAAATTTGACTGATATAAAAATTTATTAAAAATGGTGAACTTTATAGACAAAAAAATATAAATATATTGTCAGACCATGCCTTCTTGAGATATTCCATAAATTAATAAAAATTTTAAATTTAAAATAAACTTTTACATTTTTGTAGAAAATAATTTTTGTTATTGTTGTTTACTGCATTTACCGTATGAAGGCTGAGAGCCTTTCCTTTTTTTATATGTGCGCTCTTCATCTACACCTCTATCGCTATATAGTTAATCCCCTCCTATCTCTTCTTCTTCTCCCTTTCCCCTCCATTTTATTATATCTAGTAAAGTACATTGAAATTTTATTAATTTTTTATTTTAAATGTGGAATTGTTTTCTTATTTTATGGTTGATTTTTATATCAGCTAAAGTTCTACAATTTTTAAATTTTTAGACTTATGGACACATGGCACAAATGAATAATACTTCATTGATGGGAGTCGGTCCAATTGGACCTTCTTCTATGCAAATGTAAATTCTTTTAAATTTATTTATTCCCTAAATTTACTGTTTAATCCTTTTTTAATTTTTTCTTTTTTATTATTGTTAAAGTGTATTTTTTCTTTTTTATTATTGTTGAAAGTGTTTATGTTTATTGCTATAATTTCTGCTTACTACAAGAGGTAACTTGCACCTATAAATTTCTGCTTACTACAAGAGGTAACTTGCACCTATAAGAAGCAACTTGTTATTACAGCAGATTTATTCATGCTTTTACTTCATAAAGTGTTGGTTAAAAATCAATTCAGTTACATACAATCTACCTGTACATTTTTATATTAGGGGACCTCGACCTGCATGGAATACCTCTTCATCGTCTGTAAGTTAACTTCTGTAATATATAATGTATGTATAACATGTTAGTAATTGTTTTGTTTTTTTTTTACTTTTGTTGTTAAATAATTCCTTGGCATTAGAGTGTTTTAGAGAAATTGCTTTAGTGGAATGGTTTATATATCAACCTTTTTGAATGAAATTCTTCAACATTAAAAATTACGTATCTGAACATTATGTAACTATTTACTATTTACTCATTACAATTTTTTGCTGTCTTCTTTAAAAGCATATAATAGAGCTGTACAAGAAATTATCGAAAAATATTCAAAAATATTTTTAGGTTTTAAATTTTTATTTATTTAAGAAAAACTTAAATTATTTGTTTCAAAAGTAATTTTTTAATTATAGACATCACAAAAGACATTAAGTCAGGGTAAGTTATCATTTAATTTACAGATTTCATTTTGTCTTTTTGCCAAATTAAGCTGAAAGGTTTTTATTGCAAAAGGATTTATTATTCTTTTATTGTTTCAATTCTTATTTTCATTTGTTTAGATACCAACCTCTCAATTAAATTCCAACTGTATTTTGTCAGGGAGGGAGCGGGAGGGTGTAGGAATTTTGTGAAGCAATTCAGCATGAAGAAAAAAAGTAATGTATGAGGAGTTTTGATTTTTTTTTGATTAATTCATGAAACATTGATTTTCAGTTTGGCATTGATAATCCGGATCCTATAAAAATAGGTAAGAAATTTTGTTTCTTTTAACAAAAAAAAAAAGTATTTAGAGAATTATAAAAATCCGTATTTTGTAAATAGTTGAACAAAAACTTAACTGATAAGCAAAATGGTGTCTGGTGGTGTCTGGTGTTTTTTGATAAGCAAAAGTTTTTTTTTTTTTCAATGTTTTTTTATTTAAGTTTTTATGAAAAACTATAGAATTATGTTGTAAATTAGAGATTTCTAAATACAAAGGACTTCACCTTTAGAATTGGTTAGTGTTGATACTATTATAGTTAAAAGTGAAATGAAATGAAAAAATTCATGTTATTTTTATGTTTAGAACCCCACGAAGGATTAGACGATATTCCTGTTGTACGTCTTTTTTTTGTTTGTTTTAATTATTTTATTATTTTTGATTTAAACTTTCATCAATTTTGGTTGCGTGAAATCATATTTCGAATGTTTACATCTTGAGGGTTTTCTAGGAATGCAACGAGTCTGCTGAAATACAACGAATAAAAGAATCAATGAAAGAAGAAGTCAAGAAATTCGAGTCCGAGAATAATCAATACTACAAGATGCACTGATTATAACATTTATTTCTCCCATTGTTAAGGACTTAAAAAGTTCTTTGAAGAAAATGCAAGAATTAGTTGATTTTTTTGAGAAACAGCTCGTCAAAATTATTTTTTAATAATACCAAACATTACGCAACATCATACCAGACATTACGCAAGCCTAATTTTGATATAAACAAAGAATTACGTTTTCTGGATTTTAAAAAAAAAGAAATTTTCTTAAGAAAAACAATATATTGTATATTATACTTTAATTTTTAGTATTTTTAAATTTGGTCTCAGGTTAAACATACTTTTTTGATCATAATTTTAAATATCAGTTTCAAATTTGGTTTTGAGTTTAAATTTGATTATAAATAACATCATGTCGAGTGATGTCATCATCAAGTTTTAACATTCGTCGTCAAAGAAAATGTTATGAAATTGGAACTAATCATTCCTACATAAAAAAGAAAAGTCAACTTATTATTTACCCACGTGCTAAACGTTATTCTTGTATTTTCAGGTAAACGAATCGAGTAGTTCTTAACGCTTTTTGTGAAGAGTCTTGACGTTTGATTAGTTTTAATTTTTTTGGATTTGTATTTTCCTATTGTTTTCTTTGGGTGGTGTTAATTTAAAGCGAAATATTTTTTTTCAAAACATTCTTAAATTTCTTACCATACGTCACTAAGCGGAAATATTGAAATATTAGCGGATATATAAAAAAATATAAACAAAAAAATGTATATTAAAATAGTTGCTTTAGTAAGATATTTATGTTCAATCAAAATCTAACCCTAAAAAGCAAACATTTTTTTGGAAATAAAGTTCTTAGCATAAAAGATTTAAAAACAAAGAAAGTAATTTTGTTGAAAATTTTCTATTAATTTCATAATCTGTAACTAAATTGAATTTACTGAACTTCAAATGACAAAAACTAAAACTAACGAAAAGCCTTACGATAAAATGCGGATTGAAAATGGCTAGTTGAGCTTTACCACATACTAAAATCAACATATCAACTTTAGAACTATCCGCATTTGGAGACAATTTAAGTGGAAAAAAAATGTTTTTTTGTTTTTTTCTTCCATCTAAAATATTGCTATAATAAACAACTTTATTCCAGATAAAAAAATCCTGAAAATTTTCACTATTAAAAAAGTAATTTTTATTGTTATTGTGAAGAGTATCCGATTTGCGGTACTTTTACTTTCTCATTTTAAAACACAGGCAAATGAAAGGGTTTATTCTTTAAACATCGTCACCCTCCTGTTACATAGTTGAAATTTGATATACTATTAAAAAATTGTTATTAAAGTGGATATATACATATATAAATATATACACATACATACATATCCACTATTGAAACAATCTTTAAATAGTATATCAAATTTTAAATGTTTTAACAGGACTGTAATGATGTTTTAAGAATAAACTCTTTCATTTGTCTGTGTGCTAAAATAACTAGAGTTATAATGATTTATTAAGGTGTTTATTATTAATGTGTAGAAATAAATGTTTATTAGCAACTTTCAACTAACACATTAAACTGGACGCGAAATATTGAACTTGATTCTTATAAAAACGGCTTAGGGTTTATTAGTGGAAATGAGGCAATTGCTTGGGCTATAAGATAGTGTACTGAGTACTATCTATGTTTCGAGTCAAGTTCTTCAACAAATTTAAAAATGAATAAAGTAACAAAAACTATAAAACACAAAAAACCACAGTCATCGCCAAGTTCGCTAAACCTATCATTCACCAATATTCGTTGTCTTCCAAGTAACTTTTCTTCTGTTGAGTCTTATCTCTAGAAAAGTTCACCAGACATACTTGCTCGTTGTGAGACTAATTTGAGTTCAGCTGTCTCATCTTGTGATCTTAATGTTGATGGTTATCTTCCTTTAATTTGTAAAGACTCCAATAGTCACATGCTTGGCCTAGGCATTTACATTCGTAAGAATTCACCCATTTGTCGGGAAACAAGGTTTGAACCCACAGACTACTCTTTTATGTGCTTTCATTTAGCACCACTTCACTCTATCACCTTTCTCTTTGTTCTATATCGCTCTCCCTCATCTCAAGACTGCACTCTTCTTGATGTTATTTCTGATTATATTGACCAAGCCCTCATTCTTTATCCATCAGCCAATATTGTTGTTGTCGGTGACTTTAATGTCCATCACACTGAATGGCTTGGCTCTAGTGTCAGTGATTCTGCAGGCATTAAGGCCCACAACTTTTGTCTTTCTCAATCCCTCAAATACTCAAATAGTCAACTTTCCAACTCGCTTTCCAGACAACCCAAATCATTTACCTTCTCTACTCGACTTATGTCTTGTTTCTGATCCTAGTCAGTGCTCAGTTTCTTCACACTCACCCTTAGATGCTTCTGATCATGATTTGGTCTCTCTAAAACTATTATCTCATGCTTCTTTACCATCAGAATCCCCCTATCATCGTATATCTTACAACTACCTTAAAGCTGACTGGGACTCTTTCCGTTACTTTCTTCGTGATGCCCCCTGGGTAGAAATCTTTTGTCTCCCTGTTGATAAATGTGCTTCTTATATAACTTCGTGGATTCAGGCTGGCATGGGATCCTTTATTCCCTCTCGACGATTCCAGGTCAAGCATCACTCTTCTCCATGGTTTTCCTAACATTGTGCTGCTGCAATTGCTAATCAAAACCATTACTTCTATATTTATCAGCAAAACAATTCTCCAGAAAACAGAGGTCTGTTTATTACAGCTAGAAACCATTGTAAAAAGGTTTTGTCTAATGCCAAAGCCCGCTATTCTCAGATCATGAAATCTCGTATTTCATCACAAAAGTTAGGCTCTCGTAACTTCTAGAGAATCTTTAATAGTATCAATAATAAGGGCAAGTCTGTAATTCCACCTTTTTTGTATGGTTCAGACTTTGTCACCTCACCTAAAGACAAAGCTGAATTGCTTGCTAAGAACTTTTCATCAATATCATCTCTTGATGCCACTAGTTGCGTTCTACCTGATATAGCCGTCAAACAGGTTGATCCACTTGATCCACTACTCGACATCCATATCACTCCAGCTTCTGTATCTAAAGTGATATCCTGCTTAGACTCTTCTACAGCTTGCGGCCCGGACAACATACCTGTTATAGTCTTGCAGAAGTGTTCTCCGGAGCTGTCGTCTATCCTTTCAAAACTATTTAACAAGTGCTTTTCAGAATCTTATTTTCCAGCCTGCTGGAAAGCAGCATCTGTTATCCCTATTTTTAAAAAATTCTGGAGAGCGATCCGATTCATCTAACTACCGTCCCATTAGTCTTCTTCCTATCATAAGCAAGGTTTTTGAATCTTTAATTAACAAACACTTAATCTCTTATCTCGAATCTCATAACCTACTTTCTGATCATCAATATGTATTTCGATCTTCTCGTTCTACGGCTGATTTGCTTTCAGTAATAACCGATAGGCTTTATCGCGCATTAGATAAAGGTGGAGAGGTTAAGGCCATTGCTCTTGACATTTCTAAGGCGTTTGATAAAGTTTGGCATGCTGGTCTTCTCCATAAGCTTTCTTCTTACGGTGTATCTGGAAACATCTTTAAGATTATTGAATCCTTTCTTTCCAATCGTAGTATAAAAATTGTCCTTTGATGGACAGCACTCTTCTTCTTATTCTGTAACCTCAGGGGTTCCTCAAGGTTCAATCTTTGGCCCTATACTCTTTTTAATTTACATTAACGATCTTCTAGATTTTCTCACATCTAAGGTAGCATTGTTCGCTGATGATACTATTATTATTCTAGTCACGATAAGAAGCCAACTCCCTCTGATTGCTTGCAGGGGGCATCTGAGCTTGAAAAAGATTTCACTTCTGCTACAGCATGGGGCTCACAGTGGCAGGTAAACTTTAATTCAGATAAAACTCAATTTTTTTCAGCCAATCGTTATCACAATAATTTAGATCTTCCTATATTTATGAACGGTAATGTACTCGATGAGTCTCCTACCCTTCATCTTCTAGGATTAACTTTTACTTCTGATCTTTCTTGGAAACCTTATATCGAATCCGTTGCAAAATTAGCATCTGCTAAAGTCGCTTCTCTTTATCGAGCTCGTCACATTCTTATTCTGGATTCTATTCTCTATCTCTATAAATCTCAAATCCGGCCTTGTATGGAATACTGTTGCCATATCTGGGGTGGATCTTCTAATGATGCCCTTTCTCTTTTAGACAAGGTACAAAAACGCATTGTAAACATAGTTGGACCTACTCTTGCAGCCAACCTTCAACCTTTGTCACATCGTCGTAATGTTGCTTCTATTTCTTTTTTCTACAAATACTATAATGGGCACTGCTCTAAAGAGCTAGCGTCTCTTGTGCCATCTACTAAAATTCATTCTCGTGTTACTCGTCATTCAATTAAGTCTCATCCTTTTTCTGTTACTGTTCCTAAGTGCTCCAAAAACTCTTATTCGTCTAGTTTTTTTCCTCAAACATCAGTTCTTTGGAATTCGCTTCCTTCATCTTGCTTTTCTGATTCATATATTTTGCAATCTTTTAAGTCGTCTGTCAATCGTTATCTTGCTCTACAATTTTCATCTTTTCTTTTCCAGTAACTTCTAACACTAATTAGTGGTTGCTTGCAGCCTTGTTGGAAGCGAAGATAATTAAAAAAAAAAAAAAAAAAAAAAAAAGAGTTAAAAAGGGTTCTAAAAGAAGAACCCTGTAGCTACAAATAAAATTAAAAAAGTATATTTAAATTTTTACACTCTTTGAAGTAGGATTACTACTTTTCCATTTTGAAATTTAACCTTAAATGTTTTTCAATTAAAGGAATTCCATTTGGATCAATATAAAAGGTTATTTCTGGAGGAAGCTTTAAACTTTGCACAACGAAACCCTACGTTTATATAAAGGACTCAAAAGAAATAGTTCAAATTTTGATTTAATGCACAGAGGTTTTGGAAATATTACTAACTGTAAAGAAATAAAACAGTTTAAATAATTGAATACTTAGGCCAGACCTATGCATAACTTTACATTTGGTAGGTTGAGCTTCATTTGTGAAACTTGTGCATTCAGTTATTTTATTCAGATCAGTTTTAATGTCATTAGAAATTATCAAGAATGGTTTTGACTACAATGCAATCATTAATTTAAAAATATTTGCATATTGTTTGCAAATGCATAGTAAATTGTCATACATATCAAATTTGTCGAAAGATGCTTCAAATTTATCTAGAAAAGAAGTTGTAGGGGAGATAAAATTATTTATTGAAATTGTCATTATAGGGTTCTTTTTCTTTTTTATTCAATCAGTATAATTAAT